GGTTTTAGATTTACCTGCTTGATTTATATCGGTTACGCTTCATGTTGACAAGTCCCTCAAAATGGCGGCCAAACTTGGAGATTGCCGAAAATTAGGTAAGTTCACGGAGTTATAAAGTTCTCGTAAGGTCGGGCCGCAAAGTTTTTTTCTGTAGTTATCTTTTCTATGGCACCTACTTCCTAGCTATGTTAGTTGGATCAGTAAAGAACGCCTCACTTTTTCAAAAATTAACCTTGAATTTGATCGGTTTTGGCGTGTTTGATTTAGGCGAACCGATAAGGTGTCATTCAAGTCTTCCTGTTTCCTTGATTGACACGTGATGTTTACGAAAGTCGCCTCGATAGATAAGATAGAGTTAATATACATGGCTGTGGTATTTGTTTTTTGCTGAGTTCCGTAGTTTTTTGTAAATTATCCTCCAAAGTTGTATGAAATTAAAGTCTTGAAAAGTGTCACGACAAGCCTTCGCTCGAGTGAAATTTAATTTCCGTAAAACTCTGAAAAATAAAGAGATCCGATCAAACTGATTGTGGTTTTAGTATAGGTACATGAATGTCTTAAAACACACGAGAAACGAGCGAAATCCGTGTCTCAAGCAAAATCGACCGGACCGCTCTTACAGAGACACTCTCTTAATTCTGCATGGCCCAAACAAAACTTCTGTTCTTTATACTGACAAACAATTACTGACAACATATTACCCCAGTCGTTTTGAAAAATTTATGAAACAAAGAAACAGCATGGATACGAGAGGCTCTGATCATGAATGAAACCAGTTTCGCCGGAGGGAATGATGAAATCGCAACAGGCGATATAGGTGAATATCGTTTTGTAGTGTCGGACTGGTTCTCGATTTGCTTCGATTTTTGCCGGTATTACGATGTTGAGAGGAAATAATTTTAGCTCAGCGTATGGTGTTTTCCTCTTGCTAACGTGCGCTCCAGATAAGTTATACAGACAGCCATGTCTCCTACTGCAGTATTCTGCTATTTAATTGTTTCCATGAAGAAAAACGTTGCATGAATCCAGGGATTTAATTGTTATGGGCTTAGAGTTAATAAAGCTTTCTTTCAATTTTACAGACTAAATAAAACTTGTCTTTAATAAGTTAGTGGTATACAAAACGTATAATCTTTACATCTTTTGTGTTCAATTGGTTCAACTATTTGGTTTCTAACAATAAAGTTTGATGTATCGTAGACAATGATTACTGAATATACTATAATTTCGGCAGGTTAACTGATATACGCTCAGAAATTCAAGAATCGTATCGAACGCATGAAGTGAATTTTTTTTCGAAAGACGAAAAAAAAATTGAATCTTGTATATGCCTTAAATGGCATACAATAAAGATTTATATCCCTTCGGTTCAGTTGAAGTTTCAACTTAGCTTGTTTTCCGCCTTTTAGTACTTGATATGAAAATGGTCGTAACTGGCTTTCACTGGCTGATTGAGATTTTTTATTGCAAGAGTTAGCGCTGTATCGTGAGGTTCAAAACTCATATTTGTTACATTATCGATTCTTCTTCTTATTCAAGTGTTGTGTATGTGAAAAGGTAGTCGGTCGTTCAATGAAATAAAATGTCGTCATTTTGTGCTCTATGAATTTTTCATTAAATGGGGTTTCCCGCCCTTTTTTGTGGCTCAAATTACTAATTTAAGTTCAGCCAAGTGACCGACAAATAATGTTTCTCCGTGTTAATGAAATTACTCGGGGGCCTTGCGAAAACGAAATTGAATTGTTGAAGAATAGCCTCTATCTGGATCGCTCTTCCTTGGTTAAACGGAAATAACAAAATAAAGAGACATTAGAGCTCATTTCAAGCTTGCCGCAGAACGTCAAATGGGTCACGAAGGGGGGTCAAGCGTAAAAAATTTGAAGAGGAAGAAAATTGACTTTTGACAAATTCGAACCGAGGCTCACTTATAAAATAATAAAACTTATAGAAGGATCTGAAAATTTTCCGCTCGCTGTCTCTATGTTTGGTAAAGATTATTTCTGCGATGATGACATTGGAGTCACTGATTGGTCATGTGTTTGTTTTTTTAATTTATTTAAGTAAACTTTTGATTAATAGTTAAATGTTTGATGTTTCTCTGAGCACTTGTCATCGCATACTTATCTTAAAACTTATGTCAACCCATTACGGTTAGAGAAAATTCTTTCAACAACCATGCTACTTACACTTCAGGACCTTTTACGCTTATACTGTACCATTTTACTGCTGATGATCCTCCATGTCTTGTTCGAAATCTACGAAGCTGGGCGTCAAAGGGAACCCGAGGTGATTGATCAACACGATCCAGCACTCGTAATAAATCCTGAAGTAATCAGAAACAGACTGATGGGCTAGCGACAGGAGAGCGAAAACCGCAGTGTTCGGATCAGGAAAAACTGTGCCACTGAACATGATGAACGTCAAGGCTGATACAATTTTTTATTTGTTCAATTTATTCTGAACATGAGAGGAAATTCTGATAGTCACAAGTACTTTGTTTCATTTCTTTATGCTAAGCAAGTTTATTCTTCCTTATTAGCGTCTTGAACAACCCTCAACAAACAGACTCTTTTGTCATGTTAAACATGCGAACAAAAGAAAAAGAAGTTATATTTCGTCTCGCATGGTGCTACAGGGAAATGTGTTTAAAATTGATTACAGCTGAGGTTAAACATCATCTGATGGTTTTTCTTGAGTGTTTGACTTGGGCCATATTTGCACTGATCATTGTGATTTAAATAAATATTTCTGGAGAGATATGGTAAACCCTTAGAAAAATAAGATACAGTTATCATAGTTATTAGTACACTATCAGTTCAGAGACAGTATTTTTCTGGCTAATAATGCCTGATGAGAAAATGTTTTATTTTAAGAATTAATGGACCTCACTAGCGAGATTTTTATTCTTTTTGGATGGCTTCCGGCAATTTGTTCTTAAGACTGTTTAACATTTTCTCGGTTTCAAGAGTCAGTTCTTTTATCTTGAGGTGTAAATCCACTTGTGAGGGGTCGATTATAATTTGGAGAAAGGATTACTGTAATTTTCCGACGAACGTTCACTTAATGGTTGTGTTCAATGTTTACGATCTTTTTTGCAGACCTGTCAAATATCATATATAAATTTTGAAAAGTTCGTGAATAAATGAATAATAAATAAAAAAAAGCATCTGCAACAGGGAGCAGGTGCACATTGATTCGGGAACGCCATGCACTGCAACGGAATTTTAAGCATCATATGGTCCACAAAGGAGGATACATACATTGACGGTTTTGATGAAGCTGGAATGCTGACATACATTTTGTATTTCCATGAGATTGCAGGTAACGAGAGCCAATATTTATTTATTTATTTTGAACAACTGAAAAATATTTTGTATTGAATACTGCTCACTGCTGACTGAATGGTAACCACTTAAACTCCCCATGAAGAGCGACATGTACATGAACACATCACTTCAGGGGCGCTGACTTCTATCGTAACTAATTCGCCGCCAAAGCTTCTTTTTAAGAAGTCTATTGTCTCTGCGGGTTTCCCATTTCTCTCAAAATAGGACAAGATAAAATTTAAATACCAGAATATGCTTTAATAGAGGAGTTAGTACCGAATTGTTTTTCCTCTTATCTTTTGGTCTAGCCGTATGCCGGGCCAAAATTATTTCCTCTCAACAGTATGATACATAAATTAAAACAAATCGAGAATCAGTTCGACACTGATTAAATTGACTATAAAAGAAAATTAGCATCTGGAGTCATGCAAACGCTGGTCTGGATGCCATCCAACGAAACCAGTCTAATTAAGAGAATCTCTTACTTTGGTATATTATGTTGGATGGAGAGGTTGTCAAAATCACTGAAGTAATTACAGTCATTATTGATTTACTCACAAGAGCTTTTTCTAAGCAAATGTGGCTGAAACGTTTTAAAACCAGTTGTGTCTTGAACAAACATGAAGCGTCCAAACAATATCCTTTATAATTTCGAATTAGCTTATTTATATGAGGGATTCGCAAATCATTTAGCAACACGATCCCACAAAATTTACAACTTCCGCGCGAGAAAGCTTCAAAATCGTTTTAAAGACGTTAAAAAAATTTAGTTACACTATAAGTTTGGATCGGTCATCAATATATTTGATTACAAGCCTAGACAGTTTGTCCTAATGATTTTCTACTTGAAGAAAATGAAAACATGCGTATGATTACGGGTCATTTGAACGTTTTGAAGCTCGTTTTCAGTATGAATAGCTGAAGTTTTCTTTCGGCCATTAATTGGATATAATTACTAACGTGACAATTTTGTGTCACCTGGCACAAATTTCTCAATAAAAAACTTTTTCACCAGTGCGGAAAGGTCTAAGGTGGAAAGAAGCAGATGACACCAATTGTGTTTATTCTAGATCATTCACATTGCATAAATTTTTAGCGGTAACGGCAGCCCGAAATAGAGTAAATATCATTATTCAATAGTGATGTTTACTGGTTTACAAAGCAATTTTCTGGAGAGTATTACTCCAGTTTCAAGTAAAGAGATGATCTTAAAATGGGTCGATATTTTATTCCAATTTCTAATTTAATAGCGCACTGTAGGGAGCCCGAGAATATTTTTGATGCATTGATTTTACCGAAGCTTGTTGGCGAATATTTAAATTTGCCACACATAGACGAGGTGATCATTCTTTGGTTTTGATTGCAGAGACTAATCCCGTTTAAAAGAAGCACCGTTTATCAAAAACGCCAGTTGTATTGTGTTTTTAGTTGTTTATGGTGGATTTCAGACGAAGAATATCTTATCACTTTCTATTAGAGCTGCAACAGAAAAATTAAGGAAAAAATAGTCAAATAAAATTTGTAAATTCCGCGTTTGCAATTTAGGCTTTTACTTCCGGGTAGTTTACTTCCGGGTTCCGCCATCTTGAATTATTTTTCCGAGAGGTCCTGGGGATGAGTTTGTATAATCAAAATGGCGGCACCGTATTAACTTCTACAATATTCCGGTGAATTATGGAAGGTCTACTTGCATACGACAGTGGTTCATCGTCTGAAGAGAGCGATGAGTCCCCGAAAAAGAAACCAAAGGTTGCGGAATCTGATAACATCATAATTTACGCGGGGAGCAATAGAAAAACCGAGAATGGAAAGTCAGAATCTCCTTTCAAGCCTGGAAAGCAATGTAGATTATTTCCAAATAACCTAACTGAATCAAAACAGATTGTAAACGCCTACAATAATTCATCGGTGAGTACTCAAAATGATTTTTGTGAACCCTTAATTGATGATAAACACAAAACCTCTGCGTGTGGTTATTTCCGGACAAGTACTGAGAAAAATACGAAATCTGCAGCATTGTTCGATTCAGGTAACCAGAAAACGAAGTCATCTTTGATAAGTTCAGGACCAAACGTCAAACCTTACGTGTCTAAGAGACAAAGAGAGAAATTGGCTCAAGCAACATCCTCATCCCTTATGGCGAATCAGCCGTCACAAGACACTGATTTAACCTTGAGAAATAGCTCTTTGAAAGGAGCAAATTATCACCCAGATGAAGCTAAATTTCTAAACCGCAAGGACACAGATCAAGTATGCAAACCATCAAAGAAATTACATTTAAATCTTAAAGGTCACACCCAGGGTGTTAACTGCATCAGATGGAATGTTACAGAGAGTAATAATCATTTGTTATTGTCTGCATCGATGGATCACACAGTTTGTGTTTGGGACACACGGCAAGGTGGAGCTTGTATGCAAAGTTTGACATGTCATACTGAAGCAGTAAAAGATGCCAAATGGAGTCACTGTGGGTCACAAGTGTTGAGTTGTGGTTATGACAAAACTGCAAGACTGTTTGATGTAGAAACAGGTATTTGAAACATTTATTGTGGTGTATAAACAAAATTTGTGAACTAATGTACAACTTCCCTCTGCATTATGAAAACATTAAGCAAGAGACCAGTGATAGGGTTAGGGAAACATAACTAGGTGGAGAGTGTTATCTTGTATACTCAGGCGTGGTGCAGCACATTGAAGTGTGTGTGTGTGTGTGATTGAGGGTGGGTGGGGGAAACTCATCCAGTATATTAACCCTTTACACCCTAACATCAGTATGTATATTCTCCATACTGTTCTCCATATGTTTCCTAAGGTGCTGACAAGGAGAGTTTGGTTAGCAATGTAGAACTTCTTTAGTTGGTGATCATTTCATTCATCCTCATGACCTTAATGTTTGATTCAAGGGTGATATACAGTTGTAAGGAAAAATTTGATGTTAGTCATTCTTAGGAGTTAAGGGTTAAGCCAGGTAAAAACTGTTACTCAAATTATCCAAAAAATTCCTAATGTGTTATTCTTGAAACACAGGCTGGTACTGTTCAAAGCTAAAAAGGCTTAGTACCACATATAATTTTGCACATGTAATAATCCTGATGAAATGATTTGAAAAGATTACAAGACTGAGTATTTTGCTACACTAATTTTATGCTGTGCCAGCAATATTGTGGAGCCTGAAACATTGGGGGCTGAGCCTCTCATCAAACATTTGCGTGGAGAGCTGGAGCTTTCTCCCCCCCCCTGCCCTTGCACTTGTTCTTTGTGCATTTCAAGGGGTTAATGTTATCAGTTTGGTAGTGTATTGACAGTGTTAGTTATTTGGGCTAAGCATTTATTGATTTGGTGTGTATTCTATATTCCTATGTTTAGTGCTACAAAGCATGTCTGTGATTAAATTAGATGCTTAAATTGATTTTATTGATTTATGTTGCTCCTTATTTTGACAGGAAAGGAAATCAAAGTGTTTCCACACAGAAACTACGTGACTTGTGTCCAGTTTCATCCCAGTGATCCCAACCTGTTCCTAGCTGGGACTTTTAAATCTTCCATTCTATGTTGGGACAGAAGGACTGGAAGTGTAAGTGCACAATTACTGGACAGATGTCCTAAAATCTTCATGTAACAATAAATTATTTTTAGAATAATAACATATTTTTCTATTTTAAGAAGATCCTTTTACCTTAGAGTGAAGATAGAGTTTTGAGATCCATTAAAGTCAGCAAAATTCCCCAAGATGTGCTGCAATTTTTTCCTGTGTATGATGAAAAAGAGATGTAACATGATAGTGAAGGCTGATTGATTGGTCCAGTATTTTCCAAGTCCCTAGATGCAGGCTAGCCTGAGGTTTTGCAGCTTTGAGGCTAGTGCCATGGAGCCCAAGACACCACTCCCATTACAGGCATTAGTGATTAACTCCTATCAACTGATGCGAGAGCTGTTACAATGTGAACATTGTTTTATATATTTCTGAGACATGGAAGAAACAGATTGTAAACAAGCCATCACAGCTGGTGATTTTTTGAGTGCTCAACACAAATAGAAGTGGTCAGGCTGCCAAAAAAATGCCAGCCACTGAGGTTAACTCTACTTGATGGGAATAATTTTTTTTGTTATTGAACCACAGTAGGATAATAATTGGATAGAATTTTCACTGGGAATATATATATATATTTTTTTGTAGATTGCATCAACATACTCAGCTCTATTTGGTCAAGTACAGGATATAGCATTTCTACCAGGAGCAGAAGAATTTGTTTCTGCTGCTGAAGTTGTCAGACGGAATTCAACAGACAAGGGGATCATGGTGTGGGATTTTAGATCAACAGCAGTTTTATCAAATCAAATTTATCAGGTAATTATTAGACTGCACTTTAAGCAAAGTACCCCAAACCCTTTACACCCTGACATCAGTATGTATATTCTCTGTACTGTTCTTTGCACATTTCCTAAGGTGCTGACAAGGAGAAGTTGTTGAGCAATCAAGAGCTTCTTCAGTTGGTGATCATTTCCTTTATTCTTGTGACCTTGAAGTGTCATTCAGGGGTGATATTGTAAGGAGAAATTAGATGCTAATCACTTAAATTTTACACATGGATGATAAAGGTATATTAATTTTGGAATTTTCAGGAAGCCTTTACATGCACTTGCTTGAAGGTCCACCCTTACGAATCACATTTTGTGGCACAGTCAAATGGTGACTACATTGCTTTGTTCTCAACAAGAAAACCATATAAGCTGAATAAGTTCAAAAGATATGAAGGCCATAAGGTAATAAAATTTAATAAAGTACAATAACAAATGCCTTATTATTGTTTAAAATCCTGAAAAATTCCCTCCTATTAAAGGTTGGTCCATCTGAGAAAACAATTGTTCCAGTGAAAGTCCTTTAGTTCACGAGTCCCTATGGTGACAGGCCTATTTCAAACAGGCTTTCCCCCACCCCCCACATTAATTCCTTGTCAGGAATCCCCATTCACATGCCACAGTTCCCACCCTGTCTTTGGCTCACTGCCTCAAGAAAATAACGTTCATTCACAATTCATAAAGAAAACAATGATTTTTACTCTCATGTTGAAAACTGTATGATGTAGAAAGTGTAACATGAAAGCAGATTTTAAAGTCAGACCCATCCTTTAAGAGAATGTAAAAAGCTCAGCAAGAAAACTATTCAATAAAACTGAGCACTTCTTTCTTATTAATCTTTAGGTTTGTGGTTATCATATTGGATGTGATTTCAGTCCTGATGGAAAAATAATTTGTTCTGGCTCAGCAGATGGGAAAATTTTTTTCTATGATCACAGCACAGCTCGTGTGATGACAACAATAGAGGCTCACTCTGCTCCATGCACAGATGTTGCGTACCACCCCACCCTACCCAGCTGGGTGGCAACCTGTGGGTGGGATGGGCAGGTTAAAGTTTGGACATAATTTCTGAGCAAAGCAATTTTCAAATAATAGTTCCAAGATCAACCAAGGATTGTTTACAATTGGTTTTGAGATCCTCTACCCTGTGATTGGTCGAAAAAAAAACTCCATTCTCAACTTCCACTCCACTGACCAGATATTATTAACTAAGAGTGATTCTGCTTTGCTCAATTGCATTTATTACCTCATGATTTGCAGTTTCATTGTTTCTGTCATTATTAGTCAGTGCAATGTTAAATGAGTATAGAGGTAATCTGGGTTTGTTTTGGTTTTGCTTCACTACACTGAGTGACTGCTCAAAAATTCCCAGCTGCTTACTTAATCAACCAGATTTAATACAAAAACTAATCAATAAAATCAATAAACACCTCCTTCACTTGCATTTTTCCAGTTTTTTTGGCAGTTTTCTTGTTTTCACTTTGAGTTCATGTTGGCTCCTTGAGATACAAGTAACTATCTATGCTCTGATTGGCTTTGACCACTTTCTCCATAACACAGTGGAAGTGAACACAATTCAATTAACTGTGTCTACCCTCTTTGCAAGACAAATAACATCTTTGTACAACACCTTTCTAGGCAATAAAGTGTTCATGAATATCTCATATTTAATTCAAGTTTTATCTCCTTGATATTAAACAGCAGCTGCATATAAAATACTGATCAATCTTAAATTCAACTTCAAAATTTTATTTTTCAAAATAATTTTGCTTTAAGAATTATCTTCTATTTTCACCTCAGTGAAAACTTACTACAAAAAATACTGTGTTACAGATCTAACACCTGTAATATCCTAATATTAAACTCTTCTCTTCCAAACTTCAATTCCCTCAGCAGACTGCATAGTGAACTCCCTGGAATTTACTATGCTCTTTAGGGGGGGGGGGGGGGTTTCTAGGTCAGGACACTTACAAACACAGTGAGTTACCTGGCTTAGCCAGATGGCTGTTACATTCTTAAAAAAAATATTTATACAATTTATTGACCAGATCTGTCAGTTGCTAAATTTTATCTGGCAATAAAATCTTGATAAAGCTGCCATGAAAAAATTAAAATTTAAACTATTCAATCAGTTTTCAGTTAAAAAACCTACATGCACATTCTCACTTGTGTCAAGTGCTCATTATGATGACTTAAATCTAATGCACTCTGCAAACTATGCTCAAAGTGTTTGTGGATGGACTACTTTTGGATATCCCTCATTCACTGAACTTGGGTGTACGTACAGTCTTTGACTGTGGCTCTGTTTTTGCATTTGTTGGCCCTATGCTCTTTGTTCTCCAGAGTTTTTTGCTCCAGTCTGGATGGCTAAGAGGTTGTCTTTCTTCTTTAAGGTCAAGCTCTGTTGTCAACTTGTCTTTCAGTTCTGATGGTAACTGTGGATTTAGAAAAGCACAAAAGAATGAAAGAAGTTAATAAGATATTAAACATTCATTTAAAACCCTTAAATCCTAAAGTCTGATTGACCTCCACCCAAATCCTGTATACAAGCTTTTTGTGATTAAGTTAAGTCAATGTTTAGTCCAGTCCAGTCAACAGAAAATGTATTGATGTTAAGTTATGGTTACATCAGGGTTGTCAAAATAACTGACAAAAGGCCCATTTCACCTTCTATTCTTAAATTGTACCATCCAGCTATTCTGAATGCTTCTGGCTCAATTTTCAGAACAGAAGCATGGCATGGGAATAACATGGTATAGTGCTGCCTACTTTGTATCACAGTCCTATAAATGAAAATATTTTTGACAACCCTGAGTAAAAAAAATGATCATGATAATAATAATAAGTACAATGATAATGAAAATGATCATAGTAAGTGTTACAATAATGGTACTTTAAAGATTAATTCATGGTAAATTATTTACAATTTATTATCTAACATACATCATGAATACTCTGTGTAAAGGGGAAGGTTTGCTCACCGTATCCATTTTTTGAGAAACAAACTTCCTGTCCAGGGACTGGTTACACTTCAAAAGCTGTACCACTAATGAACAATCTCTCTTGTACTTCATCTATGATAAAATTATACAGGTCTCAGCTCAAAATTACAGTTTTTCCAAATTCAGTTGACATTGAACAGGAATTGATTAACTTGAACTTACAGCTTCCACCTCCAGTTTGTTCATTTTCTCAACAAAGTCCATTAACTGCTTTGACATTGCCCCAACTGTTGCCTCAAACTTCTCTTTCTCTGTTTGCATTTCGCTAGCCTAGTGGCGTTAAGTTAACAGTAGTGATACAATAAAGAAATTCAGTTCAAGTGCTTTACTCTTTATCTCCCAGAAGTGATTAACATGGAATTTCTCCCTATAATATCCATACATTATCCTGCAAACAGGTATTGAGAAAACTCCGACTTATCATGTAGAAGTTGTTTTCTTGATCTAACACTAAGTTCTCATAACTGATTCACAAGGAAATTTGTAGCAACTAGAGGGGAGAATTAATAATTTGATCTTGGGAGTTCAAGGGTTAAGGACCATGTCTCTACTACAGAGACATGTCAGTCTAGTGATCTGGGTACTAATGAACTTCCAAATAAAAGGCTTGGATTTCAGCAAGGGACAGGTTGATAGGTTGGGCAAAATGTTTTACTCTCCCAGAGTCTCTCTCTGCCCAGGAGCACAAATGGTTAGAAAAAAGAAACATTTTGCACCCAAGCCAAATGGTCCTGAAGCTAGTATCCTTGCCTCCATAGAGTTTTGTAAGGTTTGCCTGAAAGTTGTTTGATACCCATTTAATACCTGAGTAAGGAGAGGTATTCTGTGAGCAAAATGTCTTGCTAAAGATCACAACATAATGAACTGTTCAGATAGGAAAAAAAAAAAATGCTGTGACTTCTTGACCCAGTGCACTAAACTGTTCGGCAACCACCTCTCCCATGGGAGTAAATGATCATAATAGCAACTTGTATACGAATCTTGATTTATTGCTGGGGGGAAGAGTTGGCTGCAGTGACTAACATCCTATCTAGGGATGAGAACAATACCCCCACACTGAGGGCATTGCATGAAAAACTGATCAAACTGACAGCAACTGAATTGTATAATTGAGGAAAAATGGCAGATGGAAATTTATATTTAGATTACCATTTGGAGGATTCTGCTTTCAAGCTCTTGATTTTTCTTCACAACATCATCATAGTCTCCTTTTAGTCTGCAAATTCAAAATATCAGTTTAATTATTAATCAATTGTTTACAAATGTGTACAGAGGGAGGGAATTTTTCATTTAATTCCTCCCTAAATACATGACAAAGTCAACAATGTTGATCATGTACCTAATCAAATGGGTGAGATCAACCATGAAAAGGAACATTTCCATTGTCAGTGACTGATATTTGACAATTTTCATGGAAATCTTTATCACAGTCTCCTAACTCTGATCATGGATTCTTTTCAGGATGTCAAAACATCAGTAACTGCCCTAGCATTGAAATTTTTCGTTTTAGGGAACTTCTACAATAATTGTAAACTTTAAAAAATTAAACAAATGATCTTTTTTCTGATTTGCTCACAATGATATTCCTTTTATTAGTGATGATTGAATGATTGATGTTTTTCAATTTACCTCCTTGCTTGCTCAGGGGAGAATTTCAAATCCTGTCCCTTCTTTTCTTTCACTTTATCAGGTGTTTCCTGTATTTCACCATTCTTCTCTTTGGGTGATGCAACTGACACATCAGCTCTCTCACTAGAATGTATACCTGCTATTTGCTCTTCCAACTTCTGTAATTTATCTCTTAATTCCTGATTTTCTAATCTAAAAGGTTAAAAATATTTTAGAATATACCTTCTGAAAATCTGTCTTACCTACATGTCAGTCTTGTAACAGAATTGATACAGAAAAAAATATTTTGAAAGACTTACTCTAACTGTTTACAAGCTTCTGAAGAAATGTCACACTGAAAAATCAAAGTTAAATGAGAGCATTTATTCTATCCTCAATCAGTTTCTCATATCAAATAATGGAAGTCTTAAGTTAAAAAGATATATATTTAACGTTTTAACAAAAATGCCAAAATTTTAAAAAATTTCTGTTGATTTATCAAAATGGGTCTCAAAATAGTCTATAAAGGGAAGTATAACTGAACAAATTACAATTTTTTAGGGATAAAAAAAATTAGATTTGATTAGTTTTTGTCTAAAAAAAGTTTCTTACTACTGTGATCAGTTATGATCTGTGATCAGTTATGATCATAGAAATTATGCTTAATATGACAACCAAAATAGTAATATAATATTACACAAATAAATGAAAGTGATTTGGGATGGATTGAACGCGATACAATTTGTTCATCATATCCTGTAAAATTCCACCTACCTCACAAGAACTTACCTTTTCGTCTGTGTTTTCTGCTTTCGTGTCCATTTAATTGATAAAATGACTCGACTTCACTTTAAAAAAACAAACAACAACAAACATGTATAATGAATTTAAAGAATCTCTTGAATGATGTGCAGTACAATTTTCCATTTCTCCTCTTAACATGGGAAGTCATGCAAGGCTGTCACGCAAGGTTAGTGGATATGACGAGCACGTATTGCGACACGTATAACTGACTCCCAAATTGGCCACACGGAATATTAATGACACCGCAACGCAATGTTTTACATACAAAATCTCAACAGATTACAGTCATACATGTATTCATCAGCTTTGCAATAATAAAATATCAATTTCACCATAAAATACGACCGGTTAAAGAGATAATAACTGAATTGCATTGTTGCACGCATTATCAGTTTTCATATCATAACAAATCTCTCAAACAATAAACACCTTGGGTGCTGTTTAGATCACCCTACGTGTGAATTAATCCATGTAGCATTTACCACGTAAAATATAGCGGATAATCTGTATCTTTTGACAGCAACAGCTGTAAATTTTTACTAAATGAACATGGGACGTTTGTCGGTGCCAAATAGACAACTTCCTGAGATACAAACCAAATCAGATATAATCTTTGTCCTCAGTCTTTCGCTGTGAGAATAGCCTCAGAGGTCATCAACTGCCCAGCGATTCAAACGTAGAAATCTTCCTCGTGACTGCTTTAATCATGGAGCTCAATGAAAACAAAATTACCCACGTACCACGATTTCAATCAGTTGTCATATTTATTCAGCAGTAATTTTCATTTGACAGCTCGTTCCAGTTCGACACGGCCATTTTGAGGTTGCTATTTGAATTATTTGAACAATTTGAAAATGTTTCAACAAAAATCTCCCCGACCTCAGCTCTTTTCTCACGGTTAGACGTTTCGGTCGCGAATTGAAAAAAAAAGAGTCGAAAATTTGGATGATAATCCAGGTGATAAAATGTAGACAAGAGATGGTAGCAAAAAAGAAAAAAAAAACCAAAACGCCACTTTACTTCAGATGATCGGTGTAAGATTTTGGAATCGACATTTGGTTTAGAAAAAAGTGATATAATTGGTTGAAAAAATACTATTTATAGAAATTAAAAACGATATGATGAGCAATTTTCAATTGCGTATAGAGAGTAATCCAGGACTTCTTTGGTATTTCTCATCTTCGCTCTGTGATTGGTTTAAAAAACTTCTGCCATCGTCCCAAACAGAGATGTGCAAAATTAACAAAGGGGAAAGGTTTCTAAAGAAACTGGAGTGCTGCGTCAGTGGGGAGTATAACGAGATAGTTTTATCAACTAAGTTGATGATGTAAATTGGCCACAGTAAAGAATTATAAAGCATTATATTATATTATAAAGAATTATAAAGAATTATAAAGCTGGCCCTTCTTCTTTCGCTCTGACGAAGGGCTGAACGCTCGAAACGTCGGCTTTGGAAATCTTTAAGTTGGCCAATTTACACCATCGACTCAACTGATAAAACCAAAATTAGATTCAGAGCTAAGACAGTTCTGCATGACCAACTTAGTCACCCGCGCTTTTCCCTTGCTTAGGCAGTTTGTTTGATTCTTGCATTGACTCTGGGCTCTCATTGACAACTCACGTCACTCAGGGAATTTATTTCCTTCGCTCTGATTGGCCTTTGCAATGAATTGGCTTTTGATCTATAATAAATTATCCAAAAGCGTTCTTATGGAGAACTCGATTATGTGAATTGCCAATATGTTCTCTCGGCCACCATTTAAGCCTTTCGACACCTTGGAAACAATCAAGAGAGCTTCTCAATTCGGGTTGAATGATTATTCCTATATTCTCGTGACCTTATGACTGATTCAGGGGGGGGGGGGGGGTGATGTGAGGAGAAATTGCATGCTAGTCACTCTTAAGGGCCAAAGCGTCAAGGAAGGTAACCAAAACCAAGCAAATGTTTTTTAGGTGCACGTGTAATGTGTTTGGACGTGAGTGAGTAAAACTGGGTCACATATCATGAGAGTGATCAAGACTCAGGACTCAAACTTTCTGAATAACCTGCTGTCTCACAAAGACTAAGTATCGTGAGGGAAAAATCAATCACTTATTCTAAGAACTCTAAAAGGTCAAAATTTAAAGAATAAGCCTGTTTTCATCAATTTATCAATTTATCTCTCCACATATATACATATATATTTTTTTCTTTCGCATTTCTTTGACACTTAACCAAGTCCCCATTTTGACTTCCTGTTAACTCGACCCAGTTCTTTAGCTCACATCTAATCTAGTAGATTTTTTTCCTGTGGGCGTTAGAGTGCATTCCACTGACGCAAGTCGGGTCACGTGGGTGAGCATAACAGTACTCATTTACATAATGATATTCTCATTCACAAAATTGTTGGACATGAATTTCATCACCGTTATCAACAAGCTGTCGCTTTCGAAGCAATGCGTTTCCTTCGCTTCTAAATAACTTTAAACTAGTTCTAACAAAAATACCCGACAAATCTGCTGAGATAAAGGTGAGTGAATGCTTGAGTGTTTGATCGTCAAGAAGGCTAGGAGGATGCGAGACCAATTATGATCATCGATCAAGCGTGAAGCGTGCGATACGCCACGTGGTTGCGCGTGACCTCGGCCCAGCCTTCACGCGACTTTCAATTAAAAACAGGAACTCGATGAATACTGACTTTCATCGCGTTCTAGTCGTTTTGTGAGGAAAGCCGGTTGGCAGGCTCCACAATGTCGACAAAGAACCTTCTATCAACCTTCGCTGTCCATTATTTTGGCTTCACAATGGCGTTGGACTACTCTATTGTGCTTTTGTCAGTAGAAGAATTATGGAGTTCCCTCGGTGGAAGTGCAACTTTGTTTGGTTTCATGTTCGGTAGTTACGCTCTTGCTCAAGCCGTTGTTTCGCCTCTACTGGGCTACATCTCGGATTTGCGTGGCTTAAAATTCGCCGTGATGTTGTCATTGATTATTAATGTAACGGGAAATGGGTTGTATGGCCTATCCGTTTTGGCGCAATCGCTTCATATGGTTTTTGTCGGTCGATTTGTAGCAGGCCTTAGCGCGGGTTCGGTGACCCTTTCGCTAATCTACTTGACGAACACGACTCCGCGAGAAACCCGTGGAAAATCTGTGGCTAGCTTCAAGCTTGCCCAAGCAATTGGCCTGTTAGGGGGGCCTTTAATTGGAATGTTTCTCGTACCTCTTTTGGCAGGTCATGAAGAGACGACCACAACGACTAGTAAAATATTCAACTTGTATACAACCCCTGCTTGGTTGGCGACCGCGAATGTTGTGTTAATCATGTTACCACTGATAAAATTCTTTTTTAAGAACCCTATGGCGCCACACATGGCAATGAAGTTTAATTGCAGAGAGGCGAAAAGACTCGTTGTCCACTCTACATTGTTGATGTTGTCAGTGTTTTTCGGAACGGCGTGTTTCTGGGGAATTATCAGTGACTTATTCACCCTTGCGTTCGGACAGTATCACCTGATATCGTCGGAGAGAGACTTATGGAAAGTTTATATTTCTGGTGGAATCGCTTTCGTTGTCGCTGGAACTGTCATACGGGGAACAATTCACCGAAAACTATCCCCCGCGATGTTCTCAATTCTTGGGTTGATTGTTAATGTCTGGGGATTTGTTTTGCTTATAGATTACAAATTATCCGACAAAAGTTTGCAGAATGGCTTTTACTTCGGAGCGGTGGCTCTTTCCACTTCCGGCGGAGCGTTTTTCTTCACTGGCGCGGGTGTTTATTACTCGCAAAAGATCACCGATTTCAGCGACGAGGCGCGAAACCGCCGCGGAGTTTTTCTCGGTGTTTTCAACCTCGCCGAGGCACTCGGCAGATTTGCCGGGCCCGCTGTTGTTTCATTGTTTCTTCGTTTAACAGACAAAGGAACCGCACGATGCGAGTCAGTCAAATTTGATCCTACCCACTGTCAAGTTTTGAACGTAAACATCGTTCTCGCCGTCCTCTGTGGAATTCTGTCTATAAACCTATTACTGTTTATATATTACCATGTTGTTCACGGGAAGAGGCGGACAGATGGATTCCTGCTCAGTAATACGGACGTTACCAACCCTGGTGAAGGGCGACTCAGGTTTACGGACGAGACGGATGATTATTTAGACAGGGAAAACGAGAGAAGAGTACCTTTCCGTTCTCAGATGGAATTATCTCCCCCTCAAACTCATAGGAGATCATCTCATGCTTCTTCTCAGGACAGCAGTATACACACTGTCTGATCGGTTTAATTTCAAATGTACAAAGTATGAATATAAAACACTCAAATCTTTGATAGTAGGGTGTATAAGGTTCCACCCCAAAGTTCCAATTATATGAGATTTTCTTTCGGCACTGCGGCTGGGTGTTTGATTGAATTCAAACTTCGATTACAATGAAAATTGTCTTTAAATATTACCACCCGCTTTGGCATCCCATACAAGTTCTATGCAAATTTTTGAAGAATGTATTAACGAATTTAATATCGTCACGCAATCTTCCAGTGAATCGCCGGAATTTTTTAGCCGAACTTTAGCATGGAAATATACAGATGAAGACAAGAAAGAGATCTATACTTTTAATATCAAAAAAATTTCGAGAACGTTATCTCGTTATTCATAATTTATTTTTTCCTTGTTATCCCTTTCTTCCTTGATTTCTGAGAAATGCCCTCGGGCTATTTAAGAAACTTGAACACGTTTTATACCCAGAAAAGAATTGACGTGTTTTTGTAACATTCTTTAGATATACATATCTTCGAGAACAATGCAATACACAATCTTTTGATGCACAAACACTTCCATAGTGGAATGAAGCTTTAGTTTGATTGTCATAAAAACAAGATAATATTTTATTTATCATACGAAACCGGGGAAAACTGGTGAAGATTATCAAGGATAGAGAGAGGTTAAATTTTTGCAAAGTTGAACTTAAGAATTTCACTTTTGTGTATGAAAATATTCAAAACTTCAACCATAAGCGTGACGGAATGCGTCAATTCATTGTGATGAGAATGGTTACGTAACCAGTGCGTAACAAGCTCTCGGATGGAACGGAAGCTTGAAATTTTGTGGAACTTCAATAGCATTCTCCTAAGTGAAGTCTTATTTACTATCTCTTGGTTTGAAACTGGCCCACAGGCCGTATTTCGGTTGCTATAGATCATTCTGTAGACTTTACCTGAGTTAAAAGCTTATAGATTCAGTACAGGTGTAGATATAACTGAAGTTGACAGCACTCGACTGTAACCAGTGACATTTACATTGCTATGCGACTCGCCGCCGCAATATCAATAATGGTACGTACAGAGTTAATTTTGAATAAAATATCCGGTTTTACGAGAAAGAAGATGAGTCATTATTTTTATATTCAGTTATATTTCACCAACTAGAAAACTCAGGCCTCGTTTTTGGCGATTTATTTGGTCCAGTTTAATATCGCTTTATTACTAAGCTTGTAACAGCCGTTCAGTTAGAAACCGGAGTGCGATAATTAGCAGAGAGCACTAACAGGATGAGGGAGGTTTGCACACCTTTTATTAGCTAAACTTTTACAGGAAAGAAAACAATATTTGATAGTTCGTTTTACCTAAGACAGGATATCATGTTTTGAAAGAGAGCTACTAACTTTTGCTGACGGGTTTGATTACTACTGACTTATGAAAATGTGGCATTTGAGCAATATTTACATTTGGATATTCCACAAAAACGAATGTTTATATTTACGTGTTCTCTGGAGATAAAATTTGTCAAATATCTGCCCAAAACCAGGCTTTGACTTTTCCTCGTTTCTGCAATAAGTTACTAAGTCGTTTTGCTGAGTGTCGGGAATGGGAGAAGTTTAAAATTTATCGCCTGGATACATAAGAAGACATGGTCTACATCATTGTCACGTTTCAAAGGAAAAGGAGCTTCATGACTAAAAAATCAAGAGATTGTATTAAAGTGTTTTAAATCACGTTTTGAAACATACAAAACCCTGCAACTTAAACTTGAACAAATACTAATTCTGTAAAGTAGAAGAACACGAAAGAGTTACCCTTAAAGATGCATCGTTTTCAACTACGAGGGCTACCTCATTCAACTGTAGAACTTTGTAGTGTGATTTTCTGTTTCTTGCTGATGTCCTTATGAGTATTCATTTCGCTTCCTTAAGAGTTTCTTCATAAGAGCACAGTGACGTTAACCCCTTGGAACGATAATTGCAGTTCACTTCCAATTACATGAACCTTCTAGAGAAATTAAAGAAGGTTAGAGTGTTTTTCGCAGAAACATTTCAGAAAATGTTTTTTTATATTTCATTAGGGTCAATGTCCAACTCAAATCCAGTTGAACTTTGAAAGTTGATTTAAAGTTGACTCCAACTAAGAGTCCAGCTATGGATAGGTTCAACTCGATCGAAGTTCAAAACTCGAATTCAGCTCGATTACAATCAACTCCAGACTTATGTGTCACGGTTCATATCACGCGGTTAGTAATAGTCTTGAGAGACATTTACTCAGTGTGTTTTTTGCCTGTTGACAAAGGGAGACTCTAAAAAAAGCATTTTCACTGTCGCTTCTTTTGTGTTGCTTTATTTTTACCCTAGGGCGTAATCACTTGACAATAACAGTTTTCATGGAAAACCAAACCAAACTAAAGAGCTAAAACCGGCCTGAACCTTGTGTAAACGGCTGCAGTCTCTCAGGTTAGTGACGAAGCGTCTAAAACGTGATTTGCTCGTGGCGTGACAAGTCAGAACATGAATGGTGCGTAATGTAACAAAGGTGTTTTAGCGTAAACAGGTAGACTGGTGAATAGAGCACAACAAGCGCATATCGGCTTGTCTAGCGTTGTGGGAAGATACTATTTCACAAGGTAAGAAGATGATGCTTGCCAAATGCTGAGGTTAAAAATTCTTCACCCTTAATTAAGGACACGAGTCAGTATGGTATTCATTTTCTAGTTTAATTTGTGAGAACCGATGCAGCTGTTTGTTCGAATATTGCCTGCCTGTTATCTCTGCAACATTGTGAACTAATTCGCTATTCTGTCTCGTCGCCGTCGCTGTATTATCACTGAATTGTCGTCTTCTATGAGCTATTATTATTATGGTAGATTCGAGGAGTACTCACGCGATAGAACAGCCTCGTGTTCGATGCATTCGTGCTTCAGAATTTCGATTATGCATCAGTATTCTTCACACGAACAGGTCCGATAGAAAACTTTATATTTTCCTTTCCGAAAGATATACCACCACAGATATTATTAAGCAGTCTCAACTGGATAAGAGGCAATGTAGGAATAACCACCGTAAAAATACTGGAAGTAATTTGTCAGAGATTGTAATATCACTCGTCAAATCAGGTTAGGCCGCTGTTCTGTGTAAACATTTCGCACCCAGCATTTCGAAACTCATTGTGGAAAAGTGAAACTTTACCTGATCCTCGAGTATCGATTCAACTTAACACGAACTTTTGACAGTTTGTATATTCCTTCATCTTTTTTTCACGTGCGCTTTGGGAGCGAACAGTTTGCCTTGGCAAATGTGAAAAAAATAAGAAAATAAAACAATACGTCGGCGAATCGTATTTTCTTCAAAACAAAAGGTGTGAGAATTGATGTAACAGATTGTCACGCAACAGCATTCTAAGATAAAGGGGCGGCTACTAAATACTCATGATCAAATTTGATTTTAGTAGCAAGAACCCAAGTCAGTGTAATTTTTTAGACTGCTCGAGCTGCACATTTGAGTGTAAATGCAAAAATTGCCAGAAATTTCCAGAAACCTTGTTGTGGCAGTAAGGCACGCTGGTGTTTAGATTTCAGTCTTTGAGTCGTACTTCGAAATGGATTTCGGGTTGGACCTCGAGACTTGGACTTCGAGTTTCGTTTCGGGTTTAAAATGTTTAAAATGGGTTTACTTGAATTATAACGCAACTTATTAACAATTCAACGATGCATGATAAGAATACCACCACCAGCGGCCAAATAAATACGAAACCTAGTTCTCGAGGACACATTTTTTTGTGTATTAAAATACCTCACTCGATAAACAACAAGAAACTCCAGATAAAGATGTTTTTTCGTCTTGTCACGAGTGTGGGACAAGGAAAAAAAATATAAGTCCTCACGAGGAATCGAACCTCAAACCTTCGGATTCCGCGCGAACCTCTGCAGGCGAAAATAAAAAAAACTGACTTTAGGAACAAACACGACTTGGTTCAGAATCGAAAACTACATTAACGCCGCCAGTACACTTAACCAATGAGAAATCAGAAAGTTTCATCTTTACTATGGGTGAGAATGAAATTCATTCTCGAAAAATGCAGGGTTGATATCGTTCGCAGTCGTTGTTTGGTCTCATCACGCGTGTTGCGTGACGAAACCAAACAATGGCTGAGAAGGAGACATTAAGGAAGGGTTGGCTCAGAAAAGAACCGCGCGGTGGAAGCTACAACTCCCGCACGCAATATCAGCCATAAATGCTTAACGTATGGGAAATTTCAGTGGACCACAAAGTGGAGAGAGATAAAGATTTCCTGCCCTCAAAGGATATCAAACTCTCTTAGGTATTGAGAGCAGAGCCATAAACTACAAGTACCAAAGTACAACATTATGTCACGGTGGTGGGAGTTAGTACCATTATGAATTGAACTCGAATTCCAGTTCTAACATAAACTGGAATTAAAAACGCAATGCCAAATTCTATGGTTCGGGATTTCCTCAAGTCTCAAAAGGCCAACTAGACGACAAGCAACTGAAAGTAAAATGAAATGGTTTGGATATGGATTCATAATGTAGTGTAGTTCTTGCGCAAATTAATCGTTTGCATAACATTTCGTGACATGTTTTGGCGTGTTATTCTTGCAAAATCCGCAGATTTTTTTTACATTACTTCTGGAAAAAAACGTGGTCTGCTTTTGGGCAATTTCTGTGCAGTAATAATCTTTGTGACAGAGAGCTTTCGCGAAGCTCAAGAGGTTAGGTCAGCAGGAAAAAAAAACAACGAAAATTAACATAAAGTCGTGAAAAAAAGAATAAAAAATATACTCACGCTTATTTGTTTACGGTATTTCCAAATATTTTCTCATTGGAGCCAAATTTACACAGCTCGTATATGAAGCAGGGACACCTGTGATGAGGCTGAGGGAGGAAGTGGTGCTCTTCCATGAAAATGACAGAGCTGCCCGTCGGAAAATTTAAGATACCAAAAATCGCGTTTTCTTGAATAGGCCCAAATAATTTTTTTAAACCCAAGAATAAACAATTCTAAAACTTTTTAAAATTTCTTTGAAAATGTTACATAAAACTTTTATCATCTAGTAGATAATTCGTGTTGGAAATAATGTTATCTGCAGAACTTATTTCTCAGATCATAAGACTTCAAAAACCCTTGAAGGTAACTTGACAACTCAATGGGTGGTGATTTTGGGGTCCTAGCATCCTAAGCGTTTCAAAAGGGGCGGCACTACTCCCTTCACTCCCAATATCTCATCAGTAATTCTCCTGACTGTCAGCCATACACTTCTTAATATCTAAGTTTGAAGAATTTGGTAATGGATCGACTAACAATCTCGTAGTTGATATGTTTCTTTATTCGCATCAGTTGTCTGCTTGATCTGTATTGATATTGTGGCGAAAAATTCTGTCCTGGTCACTCATGGAAGTAGGTTAAGGTAGTAATGCACCCTGGAATTTCCTTGCATCTATACTCACTTGTGTTTGTGCCTGTTGCACATTTCATATCATCGAATGGTTAGGGTAAACTGTATATTGTTGGGTAAGAAAAACCGGTTTCTAATTTCATCTTTAATTTGAAGGATTCCACCATGACAACTGCAAAGGGTATTGCTTGCCTTTTCCAAACTGTCGATGAACATCCTGAGCCAATCGACGCGGAGATTAAAGGTGAAATTCCTCCTTGGCTGAACGGAACCTTACTTAGGAATGGGCCTGGTAAGTTCGAGTGCGGTGACATTCCGTTCAATCACTGGTTCGACGGTCAAGCACTTCTGCACCGTTTCCAGATAAAGGATGGTCATGTGACCTACGGCAACAGGTTCATTCGGGGTGAGAGTTACGCGGATTCTCTGAAACATGGCTCAGCGAATCACTTGGAATTCGGCACTTTCATTCCCCCAGATCCGTGCCAGAATATTTTCTCCCGTTTCTTCTCGAAGTTTTGGCATGGGTACGTTCCTTCGGATAACACGAACGTGAATATTTTTGCCATGAAAGACAAACTGTACGCCACTACCGAGGCGAACTTCTTGCATGAATTCGACCCACAGAGTTTGGAAACTCTGAATAGAGTTGACCTCACTACGGAGTTTCCAGGTAACCACAATTGAGATTTACACGGGAATAGCCGACTAAAGTACTCCATTATCAGTTATTTAACGATAAGGTTATAGGATCGAAAATTCTCTCGCATGGTATGTGATGAGGGTGAAGTCGGCGTGAACCATCACGCACAACATTCGAGAGCGAAATATCTTATTGATTGAGCATAAATCTAACAGATTTTAAGACTTAATTTGAAAATAGAGTTTTTTTTTTATTGATTACTACTGTAAGTAGGTCACTCCAAGTGCTATTCACCTGACTTCCTAGCCATCACAGAATAGATAGCGAGCGAGATAGCCAATCAGATTGCAGCATTTGTGATGGATTGGGAGTAGATCTACATTAACTATTTTACGGTTTCAAGGATTTTCCTGTATAAGCTCAAGTAAAACTTGAAACCTGGGGAGGGGTAACCTTTCTTTGATCAAATCAGGGAGGCTCTAATTTAGTACAAGTCGTTTACATTACTTTGGCCACTGCCATCTCAGAACTGCACCGGTGTGTCACTGAATATGGTTTGGTAAAGGATAAAGGAAAAAAAAAAGATAATAAAAAAAAGGTTTCTCCCCATCGTCGTGTAGCTATTTTGGGATGCCTGAGAAATGCCTAATCTTCCAAGATTGTCTTCTTTAACGTGAAAACAGGAAAGCAAATGAACAATAGCAAACCGTAGGGCTTAGCGCCCCTTTCAAAGTGAACGGACCGGATCAATATCAGTATCTGGGCAACTGCCCACCGACCCCTCCCCTAACCCAACAACAGTCTATTGATAACAAGTTAGGGTTAATGTTGGGTTAGGGGAGGGGTAGGTGGGCAGTTGCCCAGATACTGATATTGATCCAACGGACCTTGATGAGCCGGTTGTGTCGTTTCTTACATTAACAGCCAGTTAGTGCGCTGCTTCACTCCCAAGAAAACGGTGCAATGCCAAGTCTGAAGTAGATTCATAGTTAGACCAATTTAACTGATGAATATCTTAGAAGGCGGTAACCTTTTCCAAGCTGTCCTGAAGTAAATGATCTGTAAGAAAATGAACAAGATGCTTACTTTAGTTTTCATGTAAACAACCCCTTTGTTGACCAGAAAAATTTGTTATGGCGACGGCCTCCTATGAAGGCGAAGCCATAATGAAATCCTGTTGAGTGAGTGTGGGTAACAATAGAATACGAACGACCTCTTCGTCCACAACGAAGTCTGCCGAGTTTTACCCTTTATTCCTCGCTCTTGGCTTTTGTTTGTTTCGGAACATCTTCGGTCGTTTAACGCTTAATTACACTGAGTAGTAGCAGGTGATCACACTGTTTTTCGGTGCTACTAACTGTATGTCTTGTAGTGTACTACAGAAAATTACCGAAATGCATCTTCGGTCGTTTAACTGCGATTTATTTGCGAATTGTATTTCACTGAGTAGTAGCAGGTGATCACACTGTTTTTCGGTGCTACTAACTGTATGTCTTGTATTTGTTACCATTTAATTGTGGTTGAGTGTCAATTATTCGCTGTATTCTTGAATCATCTTTCTCTTGTGCAACAGGGTTCTCAAAAGTATTTGGGATGCGGCAGGTTTTCTGTTTTGCATGCGAGAGAAATCTTCTGCAAAGTTAGCTTATAGCATTATTATATAACCTCTGATTCTTTTCAATGATATAAAAATTGTACTATACCAGTAGCCATATGCTGTCTTAACTGCCTATTCTTTTTCAATAGGCGATGCTAGAATCGATATCGCAACCGCTCATCCACAGATAACCCGTGATGGTTCAGTTCTTAACGTTTCCATCCAATTTGGTGCCTACGCCACATACAACATCGTCCAGATACCACCTTCCTCTGGAAAATCGGACGAGAAACCTTTAGATGGCGGTAAAGTCCTTTGTTCCATTCGGCCTACCAGTGGCCTTGGCTACATGCATAGCTTCGTCCTCACGGAGCATTATCTGGTACTTACCGAAACACCTTTGTCCTGGAATATATTGCGAATTCTGACGACAAAATTGTTCGAGTCAAGTGTCGTGGATTGGCTCCACTGGGATCCGAACCAACTCTCAAGGTTTCTCGTAATCGACAGGAAAGAAGGAACACATGTTGGTGTCTTCACAGCGAAGCCGTTTTTCGTGTTTCACCACATCAACGCTTTCGAAAAAAACGGCAAGATTCACCTCGACGCTTGCTGTTACCCAGACAGCCAAATTATTGACGATCTTTACCTACATAACGTGCGAACCTCCAAAGAATCTGCCAAAAAGAATGTTGCTCTTACAGAAGTTCGTCGTTACGAGCTTCCCCTGGAAGAACTCGGAAATGTGAAGGAGGGGAAATCTCTTGTTAAGCGGGCAGATGGGCTCGACTACATTTTATTGAACGCCGGATTGGAATTGCCCCAGTTCAATTATACTGAGAAGAACGGCAAAGAGTACGAGTTCGTATATGGCATTGGGACGAAGAAATTTGTTTTTGACCATTTGATAAAGGTCAATGTCGAGACGAAGGAGTACATCACATGGGAGGAGCCTGAGGGATTCACTTCTGAGCCTGTGTTCGTGAAAAGGCCTGACGGGAAGGATGAAGATGACGGTGTGGTGCTCTCATCTGTGATTAACACCCGCGACCAGACCACCTCCCTGCTGGTGCTGGACGCGAAAGATTTCAAAGAGCTGGGCCGAGCGGTTGTAAATGGAGTTACTCCGATGAATCTTCATGGCTTGTTTAAGAAATAAACTCGTTCTAGTAAAACGCCTGCACTGTGGGCGAACGAGTGACCAAGAACCAATTTCTACTTAAGTTATCAGTATATGTTCATCAAGAAGAGTGATGAGAAGAAATTAGAAGAAAAGTATGGTAGACAGTGTGGAGAATTGATATTTAGATATTGGAAGTAGTAGACCAAACTGATGGAGCTTTTCCGCTTTCCTTAACATGAAGGGACCTGAATCCCGCTGCTGGAACAGAAAGCCATCTTGACTCATTGAATGCACGAGAAAACCTTCAGCATTTCATTCACTTAGCTTTGCCTAAGTTTGCTGTGATCTATTAAATCTTCTGGGTACAGGGAGATTTTACTAGGGTACTAGGGTCCTGTTCGAGAACGAACTTCCAGGACTTAACGCGCGCTGTATGATAAGGAGTCGAGCGAGCTGACCGTTTTTTCTTTTTGTTGTCAGTTTTTTTTTCCACTTTTCTGCCAAAACCGACGATTGAAGCACAAAAGTAAGTTCCCATATAGTTTAGCTTTGAGAGTAGATTCGGCATATTTTTTCGCCATTAGAGTAAAATGCTACTGGATACGACCTCAACTTAAAGTTTAATTTCAATTACCGCACAGGAAAAATAGCACATACAGTCTCTAAGCCTTGAATCACACAGTTGGTGTGCAAATACACGTCAGTAAGCAGCGTTGTGTCCATAAAATTATTACATCAAATCCAAACTTTTAAGACTTAAGTCTAGTTCATCCTATTCCCAAGCCTTTAAAATTTCTTTAAATATCTTCATAATTAATCAAGACTGAAAATACTCTTTACTGAAGCTAAACCGAATTATGCCTTGCCTGACATCTGCTCAGAGTTTATCAACCAGTTCCTTAAGCTACAGGTTGTACTTTCCCAATTTGCGGAACTTTGTTTTACTTCCCGTCTTGGTTTTTCCCAGTTATTGTTTTTTGTGCCTAAAGTGACTTGTTTTGAATTTGTGCAGCCCCAATCCAACCATTAGCGTCAAAATATGCTCGATTCCTTTGTTGTATGCTTCAACAATGTTCCTCTGATTAAGTTCCGTAATGAAGTGGTTAAGCACCAAGTTATGGCAAACGGCCGCGGTGAACACAAAAGTGAAAAGATATTAAATTCTTGCCGACTGCTTTCAGCAGTTTATACACGTTAGTGAAAATATTTGAACTGTGAACTTGAAATTTTATTTTAGTTTTCCGACTGTGTTGGTTTAGAAATTGAAGGAAGAAAAGAGGATAATCAAACTCATTTTTGCCATTAATTGTCGCAAACATCCATCTTAATTTCACTTGTGAGAGGAGTCTTCTATTTGAATAAAGTCATAATCTTTGCTGTGAGAGAGTTTAGTTTACTCTTTGTTTTTGATCCATCACAACATTTCATTGTGAATCCGTCATATTCCTTCGTTATTAAAGCAATTTGGAAACTAAAGCCTTCAGAGCAACAGCTGGGCTACGACGGGTTGAGATATTTTGAGAACGATACAGCTGAGTAAAAAGAACCCCCCTTGTTAAATTCACCACAAACTGAAACATGAGAAAGGTGTACTGCATCAATGTGAGTTGATACTCACTGAATCCAGCAGGTGTGTCGAACACACCAGAACAAATGATTCGTTATCATTCATTCTGTGCGCTGGCTCTAACTGTTTTACTTATTCCTGCATTTTCGCGTTGTTTCGAAACGATAAAATTAGTGGCCATAACACAACCCTACTCGTGATTAGTCTCTATAAATTGTGTTTAGAACTGATCTGTTTAAGTATAATGATCTTCCACTCCTTAATGAATGTAACTAGGATTCATTCTTGACTCACTTCTAGCTTTCCCGTGTTTTTATTGTGGAGCAAGCATCTTTTTCATTCCGCTTTGTTTGAGCTCAGCTCGGCACATGCTACACGTGCTAGCCTGCCAAACTATCGCTATCCACTCGCCGCATGTCATTAGTCGATTAAAATGCTCGCACCGCATGTTTGCTGACTTGTTTTAGTTTTGTTTCAAAACACCCTGCATTGATATTGGCGACCACTGATCATCGCTTTGAAAAAAAGCCCACGCCCTTCTTAACGACTCAGACCACTTAAGCAAAGCGTAAACACGTTGTATTCTCAAAAAATTTATTTATACAATCAAAGTAATTTAGAATCACATCTGTGCGACCTATAGCTGGCCGTTTTCCTCGCTCTGTGTTAAAAACAGGAAACTTGAAAGCACGGCCAGGCTCTTAAGGAGTTAAGTACTTTGTTTTACTCACAATTTTTTTCCGGCGCAGAAAACAGCTGAAATGCGGGTATGCTCAGGTGGCACAATTGTCTCCTAAATTCGAAAATACACTCTCATTCTGTGCCTCTTCGCGCCCATCGCCGATTACTCATTATCGATATTCCTTGGCGTACGTTGATTTTCAGTTACCGCGCACTAACTAATTGAAGTTTCTGTATTTGTTTGGTGGCCGGCTTTTCACTAATGATCCGAGTTCCTCGGCGACAACGTTAAGAAATTACCATTTCCATTCGCCACGACCGCCAAGCACACATCATCTCCACAGTTTTCCCACGCTCTCTGATTGAGCTCTCGTTAATTGAGTAGCAAAAAGTTACTTTATGAAAACGTAAGGGTAATGTTTCTTTTTTCCTTTTCTTCTTTGGTGCGCTGTGCGTTGCCCAAGCACCTGTACGCTGTTAAGGAACTTGTGGCTGGCCATTGTTCAGAGCAATTTTAATAAACACCGATGCTAAGAATGAATAGTAATAGGTTGTACATGGTTATGTCTTTTGTTAAACGTCTTTCGGCCGAAAATTGGTTGCTGGCATGTATTCATTGATCAAACTTGATCAATTCACACGTTCGGTGTTTTTTTCTTACAAATTTCTGTTGGTTCTCAAAACTTCGACGTTTGTTAATGAAAAAAGTTTCAAGTGGTTCTTCAGAATAATGCTGCTTATGAAGCTTGCATTGTTTTAGCTCCAGCATTCCACGTGAAGGCGTTTTCATAGTTTTTCGACAAAAAAGTTGTTCCGAACGCTCGCAAGTTGTTTATCGATTCCTCGACACCTACGTTCACTTGATAGTTCCTATTCAGCGAGTAGTTTTATTATTTGCGAGAGTTTTGTTCGGAAATTTCTTCACAGCCCACAGGGTAAAAGTGACTAATATATTATTCTATTAGCTCGCAGGTATGGTTGAGGAGAAACTGACAACTTAAAGTTATTTGCGGTTAAGTTCTTTCAATTTTCTTTGCCTGAGGGTGTTTCCATGTGATCTTCCGATTTGATCAGCTCAAATTTAAAATAGTTTTCTCCAGAAAACGCGTGTTTTTCCTCTTTTCTCGGGTTACGCGGCTGATCACAAACAGTCCTTGTGGTTGAAGTTTGAGATGTGTTTATTGTGCTTTCAAATATCGCTCCCTTTGTTTTGTTCAGCTTCGTAAACATGAAAAGCTTAGTTGGGACAACGTCCATATTCGATTTTTAAAGCCGTGTTCATCAACGTATTGAATACAAGCTTCTTGTTGTTAGCAGAACTCATAGGTTCAATAAGGAGCGTTTTCCGTTTCGATTATACCCGGGTGTAACTTTGGTAAGGTTTGTTCCCAAAGACATTGCAGACTGGCTAGTACTAAGTGAAAAGATCACCTTTAATTTGGAAAGCTAGAGAGATCTAAATCTAGATGTTTGCATGGTCATTTCATCACTGCTAAAACCCACCCACAGTGCAATCGAAGCTTACACTGATGGCTAAGACACAATTTTATTTCCTCGTTGTTTCCCTTTTTATCACCGTTCAACAAAGACCGATTTATCCGTCAAGATCATCAGCAGTCAATATTCCTCACAGGTGTCTCATCTGGTTGAAGAATTGTTAAACACTAAAGGCAAGTGCCGCACTGGTGGAATTTTGTTGTATTCATTTGACCCCCTGTGTGTCCTGAATGGTGCTTTAATGATCCAGTTTGTTTTGCCTTTTTGAGTATTTCAGCGCTTTGCACATGTTGCAGAAACGTAAGGTTTTCCTTTCATGGTATGCTTACGCTAGCGTCAACGAGATCATTCAGGGATTAACATAACAATACATGGAGAAATTTAAACTGCAAACTCCATTCAACAAACTCTGTGAATTGTAGCCAAGTTTTCTTTGTTGAAAAGAATGCCACCAACAACCAAGTTGCTATCGAGTTGATATGCAGTGAATTGAACAGCAAAAATTAATTTCTCGCGTTGTAACTTCTTTGAGTTGAACTCAGTAGAATTATCTACATATGGCGCCAACAGCGTTTTAGGTGATGATTCAATGGAATTTCATTGACGATTGAGACATGTGTTCAACCTGTATGGTAACAAAGCGACTCCCGCCAAAAATAGAGGGTGCGTAGCGCCAGTGCCAGTTCTATCACATGTGTGAAACGTGCGCCCACGAGGTTTTTACCGCCAAAAATAAAGCGATGTTTAACAAGATAGCGTGTCGAATCATTCATGAATATTTACCCCTTTGTTTGTCCTGTGAGTTCTTTTTGATGGCCTATTATGTGCACTGCACTGGCCACGCGAGTTGTTCACACTTTCCTTTTTTTAGTTTCTTGGGCGTAGAAATTACGACATATGCTCAAGGAGTAGGCCGAGTATCTGTGACGCTGTAACGGACCTATGATTTCAGTCCCGACCTCAATAATTACACTGCCCTTGTCAAAGCATGTTTTCAGACGACCGTTGACTTTTAATTAACTGACAAACTATAGTGAATTGTTTATCGTCGGCACACGCACTAGATCAGTTGAGCTCAAACATTGTTTGATAAGCTTCAGCGGAACATGAGAATTATCTTTCAGGAGTGGTTTCCGTCAAAATTAAACAGCAGTTCTGTGATTTAGCTAGCAATTTTTTTAAACAAGGGCTGATCGTACGGCTCAAGGGATTAAGCGACCTGGCGTGCAGTAGTTATTGTTTTGAAAAAAATCTTGTCTGAACAAGCCATCGGAGACAATAAGAAGGTGCTGCTTAATTAGAATAATAGAACTAGTTGGTTAAACAGTATTAAGCGAGAGCGTGGTCTTTGGCCACGAGCACGTGTGTTGAAGGTTTCTTTTGACAAGCACAAAGCGTGGTAAACTGTTAACCAATATAGATACATCGTTGGTATTGTTCTTTTGACTTTTTGACTTTTGTTTGGCTTGTGTAGGTGTAAAATAACTGCGTACCGCACGAGTCGGATGAAATCAATGCACAAGTCCAGGCTTGTTTAATTCTGTACTGTTATCGGAGCGGATTTACTCAAACTATCGAAGAGTTTCAATTTGATAGAATACTTCGGCAACTTCCTTTTTAAAAACAAACTTTAAAACAACAACATCGCTAAAACTATGATTTAGATTTTCGCGGTGATGTTTTGCAATTCAAAACTTTATTGAAAGTTGCTACATTTCTACAGTGGTTTTCAAACAATTATCGAAGAGAATCTGTGGTAATCAAATTAATTTTTTATAATCAAGATTGGGTTTATTTTCGTGTTCTATGCCCAGAGTAACTCTCGTGTTAGCCACTTCATTTGCAAGCCCAAAATATGATTTCTCATTACTAATTTACATAGTTTAATAAGAATGTTTACTTTGAGAATTTGGGGTCAAGCAAACGGTTATTAAAGCACCTGAGACATGAGTAAGAAATTTCATTTTGATGTTGGATTCGTTTTATTGTACATAGTCAATGAGTCGCCGAAGCATTTCTAAAGGAAACTAGTGAAGTTCGGTCAAACCACGGCGTAATCTCATTTGCGTAACTAGGAGCTAATAAACTTAAACGAACAAACTCATAATTTTGTATGAGAAAGACTCAACTGAAAAACAGTACTTAGATGAGTGCCACGAAAAAAATATTGAGATTATGAAATGTTAGTGCGTATAAAATGCGAACTCGAAAATCTCGAAATTTTTTGTAAGAAGGAAAAGCTTTAAATACAGGCTTAAAAAGTACTGATTTCAACTTTTTATGGTTACCTCCAATTATCTTACACGTTAGGCAAGGAAGCGGCTACCAATGAAATGTGTCTTTTTTTTTTTTTTTTAATAACAGCTGAAAATGGACATTACATTACATTGAAAAGAGTAGTAAAGGTAAAATTTTCTTAGAATTTAAGCAAAAGCGATCTTGAGGACGTAAATTAATCCTTGCTGAATGAACTGAAAAGATCAATGTTGAAAGTAGGGTAGAATATTCAGCCACACGTCTCAGAAAGCGTAGAAAAGGCTGTGCACAATCGCCGCAGCTGCTTCGTTTAAGCATGTAAAGTCGATTCGCATTGTTTTGAGACAGAATAACTCACACTCGCCAAGGGTTTAGGGCGTTCTTGAAAATAATTTTCTATTTTTCATAAACGTCGTTTAGTAAAAAAGAAAATTGGACAACGACAGCGAACATTCGACAAATATTAAAAGCAACAGCATTTCAGGATAACAGTTGAATTACAGCCTGGCGATGAAAATTGAAGTCATTCATCATTCCCGTGGTAGAGGCTTGCCAAAACAAATATATAGCTCGCATGATTTGGTAAATCTAATTTGGCGTTCACATTAAAGGGAGAAAAAAAAACGTTGCGACGAAACCTTTTCAAGGTTTATCCATTAAGTGCAGTTCATTATGCGCACGCGAATAACAAATTTTTGCCAAGAAACATGTTCTTCGAATGAAACTTGACCTCAAAACCGTCTGTTAAGTTTGTTCGTTTGGCAATTCTTCGAGATGATTTTGAATGGTATTTCTCTCTCGTGTTCCCTTTAAATAATGTTTTGATCCGCGAAAATGTAATGTAACATGTTGCAAAGTCGCGTGGCATTGTCGCGTGTCTACAAAACACCCCTCGTGATTGTTTTCTTAAAAGCCAAACTAAAGTGGTGCGGTCGCCAGTCCTTAATCTAAAATAAATTCACTTGAATTAAACAAAAAAAATGTGGATTCTTCTGTAATTAATTCCCGACCTTTCAGTGTTTGCGATTAATGGGTGGTGCTTCTACTTTAGCTGTCGCGAACCGACGCCTAACTTCGATATTTTAAATTAATTATATTTGCTTGAAAACGAAAAGAGAGCGTTATTGGAAGTTTTGTAGGTAAACGCTTTCAGATAGGCAGCTTTTATGTCGCCATAACAATTGGAAAGACGCCCTCACGACAAGACTTGCGTCTAATCACTTCCCTAAAGTAAAATATCACCCACAAACGTACAAGACTAGATTACATTTTCCCCGTCGGTTCCTACGTCATTGATGAAAGAGGCTATCTAGCATGGTCAATGTGAATGCTGTCTTTTTTACCGAGTAAACAGCTTTCCGTGATATTATTCATTGTTGCTATAGGAGCATTTAACGTGTTGAGATATACACTACTATTTTCCTATTTTCCTCTCCTTTTAATTTCTTGGCCGAATTGTGTCGAGTTTCATTTGTTAAAATGCAAATGCGAACAGCTGTTTTTCAGCTAGCTCTCTTTGAATGTGTGTGTGTGTGTGTGCGTTCTGATAATTAGAATAACAAAACCTTGCTTCGTTTGTAAGCATTTGTAGAAAAACTCAATTAACGCGACTCGGAGTAGCCTATCCCGTTATCGTAATGGATTCTTTAGAATGTATTGTACGACTGTGGGAACTTTTGGCACGTTCAACCACTACAGAAAAACGTCTTGAATCCTCAGGCTTAAAAACTCATTTTACCAGTGACATTGTGTCACATAATTTCCTCAGACGAAATCGTTCAACAAAGTGTCTTTTATAATTACTTTTTTGCAGGGGCAATACATTTTTCCAATCACTTCGGGAACAAATGTCTAACTCATTCGATTATATGCGGGAATGATCTCCTTTTTAATCTCGGAACGAAGTTTCCTTTCCTATTATTCAGTCTTAAGTGGAATCGTTTTTAGAAAGTAAACTCTTTGTATTTTAATCTTGCTATGTTAACTCCGTTTTAAGCTCTTAGTGCAGTTCAACGCTCGCCAGTCGAACAAAAATACTCGCCTCGCAGAGGAAAAAAATATCGATTACATTTTCTATGGCGTCCTACGCATTCTTGAACTTTGGTCGGGTTTTCTCTTAACAGATTTCCGATCGCTGACTTCTCTGTTCTATTTACACTTAGCCTTTTGTTCATTAAAATTCCCAGAACATATTTATCCATTTCAAAACGCCGATTGAGCAAGCGCCTAAAAGATCAAACTTCGAGTTACCATTATTCGGCGCAATAAGGTTGATTCATTGATCCGGCTTTTTGGCGTCAACTCCCGTTAAAATTGTTCTATTATGGTCTGATTTAAACCGTGAGAGAAGCGATCAAACGCACAGATGACGCCATAGATATGTTAATTCTTTGCAAAGTGTCTTGAGAAATGTACAATAAATTCTTTAATTATTCTCTTTCGAAAATTGTATTCATGTATTCAAGATTACACCTGCCTCTGGATCGCAATGCTTTTCTAATTATCCGCGAAGGCCGTCGTTCAATTCTAAGTCGAGTGAGTTCTCCTAAATTATTTATCTTACACCTTTAAATGCCTTTTTGAACTCCGATGCTCTTTTCTCGTGAAAGCTGGCTCTTTGCGAGAGGGGCACAAGGGAAAGGCAGCGCTCTTCGAAATAAAGTCTCTTCGATCGAGTACCTTTGTTTTAGTGCGAATATTTCCTGCCTCTTTTCTATTGACAAGCGAAGTGTCTAAACTACGTGCATGCTTTGATGAGCGCCTGCAACAATTTAGCGCGTCTCCTTTGTGTTCAAAACTGAAAAAAGCAAACTGAAATTGTTTTGCTACGGTAGTCCGAGCGACCGTAATGAAGCCAGGACAATTCTTTTGGAAAGCTTTTTAACTCTTTTGACCAATCTCGAGAGCGCTCTGTATTGTGTTAGGAAAGAACATCCGCACGAGCCGATAGATTTGAAGATTGAAAAAGCTGCGAGGACAGTTTGTCAATGGGCTTAATTGCGCTAGGTTGGAGTTATACAAAGCTGGGAAAAGATGTTTACCTTGTTTAAATGGAACCCTGAGTATTTTTTTTTAGCCTCGGAAAGGCACGTTGAGGCTATTGAAGACAAAAAATTCCAGCTAACGTCAATTGAATTTTCTTTCGGGGTAAAAGAAACCGAGATATTTTTGCGGCGTAAGGTTTTTGGGGGCGTTAAAAAGAACCAAGAAAAAAATCGCAGCGAAGGACGAAATAGAGAATAGAATTCTGAGCGGGAGGAAATTAAAAACAAAAAGAACAACACAGCTGCTGGGATCGTTTCCATGCCCAAGTTCAACTACTACGCTAAAATTTCAAATTTCCTAACCCTCTTTCCTCATACATGATCGCGAGTTCGAGCATCAAACAAATCATCTTACGTGAAAACACTTTTTAAAACTATGCGCGTCGAAGTATAATTCCCTCTATTGTCAATTCCCCGTTAAAAGGCGAATATATCCATAGTAATGCAATTTTACTTGTTTGAGTAGATCACTCTCGTTCGCATCGTCCAAAATAAATAAATTAATAACTTTCAGTCTACGTGCGGTTTGAAGATAGAGGAGACAATTTTAGAAATTCACTTTATTTTAGGCGATATTCGCTTACGCGGGTGAATTCTCTAATCTATGCAGAACTATCTTAAAGGGGTGAAACATCTGCTTTCACTGAATAAATTTCTTGAGCGTTTAAAAGCGGTCTTTAGCGAGTTTTAGTGAATTTTTACTGCGTCCTTTTAATAGTAATTTACGAAAATAGCTTCCAAGAAACCTAATTTCTCAAGCGATGTATTTTCTGTCAGTTTTGTAAACTATTCCGTTGTGTTCTTTTTCATCTCCTTATTATTAGTTCCGGCATTCAGTTTTCTTTTTTTACCCTGATCACATAAAGAACCCAAATTCTTGCTGTTCGAAATAATAATAAAATGTAAATCATGTTCTGGCATGAAACCATTGATATTTAGCCAATGAAACGATCTGTTATAACCAGTTATGAACCAATGAAAGGCCATCGTTTTAGGACAGCTGCCAATCAAATGCACGTGTTGCAAATTACTGCGTAATTAGACACTGCGTTCCGTTTCGGCCGGAAACTGTTGTTTATGCATAAACACTACGATTTGCATAAGGTATTATTTGTGGTTGTTTTGCAAAAATATGAGCGATTTTATGGGCAAATAGTCCGATTCAATATCCGTATTTGCCGGGCAGATTTTTATCAGCAAGATACTCTTAATTCAAGAAAATCTTAAACCGTTGCTCGAATACGGGCTTCGAAGCTAAGAGCGACACACCCTCATTTTTAATGAAATGTTAATACGGCCATACACCCGTCAGGAAAACAATACGAAACACGTGTGGGGATATAACAACAAAAAAACATATTTAACAAAGGGAGGAGCTCTCGCGTGTGACATTTCAATGAACAGTCCTTAAGTCCTCTTAACAACCACCGAACAGCATAGCAGCTGCTTGCGCCGACACAATTAAAACATTTGCGTTTCCGATCTTAAGAACATTTCAGCTTCCAACAGATAGCGTAGACATCTCTCGCGCTCGGCCGAGAAATTTCGCCGCTGGACCTCGCCAAACAGGATAACTTTGAAGAGCGGAAACGGGTTCGCGTACAAGACCAGATAACGGTTTTAAAAATATATAAACGTTCGCGTTTATTATTATTATTTTTATTACTCGCCAGCGGTTCCTGGTTGACCTAAAAAAATATTTTCAAAGCGACTTCTGGTAGTGTCGGACTGACAAAGGAGCGATCATGCCCAAAGCATTCTTAGTGAAGAAGAACAAGAGATCACACGGCGGAACAAGTGCGTCTGAGAGAAGATCTTTAGAGTACGATGCACTACCTTCATATCGTGAAGGAAATAGTGTTGAGCTATCCACTTCGTCTGCGGTTTCAGACATTATGCATTCATCATCGCTGGCCAACTCGGATAAAGCACCGGTGTTAACTTCGTTAAGTACGCTGCTCACCTCAACGTCTAACGGAAATGTTACCAGTAGCGCTTTCAAGCCCTTTAAAGTTGAAAAAGAAAAGGAAAACTCTCCGAAGAAGTTCAAACCGAATCCGCCGCTTGCCGAGAACCGAGACAAAGCGGCCAAGGGAAGAGAAAGCAACGGTAACACCGGGCGCGAGGCGCTCAACGAAAAACATACAGATCATGGTGGCAAAACCGCAGTGCTCGAGCACAAAGAGTTTGCCATTTATCAAGACAAGTACGACTTTCCGAAACCCAAAGGCCCGCTTCCGCAATCGCAGTTTATTTGTCAGCTCTGCCAAGAAGTCTACTCAGATCCATTTTCGCTTGCTCAACACAAGTGTAGCGGAATTCAGCACACTGAATATCGATGCCCAGAGTGCGACAAAGTCTTCAGCTGCCCTGCGAACCTGGCGTCGCACCGAAGATGGCATCGACCGCGTTCGCCGCACGAAAAGAAGCCAGCTCCTTCGCAAGTGCCAGCTACCCGAGGCGAACAGCTACCAAACAGTCCGAAAACCAGCGGTGAAGACAGCAAAAATGGTGTCACGACCAACGCTGAAAGTGAGGTGCGATCGACCAGTCCGATCGGAAATAGTCAAGGGCAATTTGTGTGCGAAGTATGCAACAAAACATTCCGACGAAAAGCCTACCTAAGGAAACATATGAACAACCATAATGACGACCGACCATATCCATGCCAGTACTGCGGAAAGGTTTTCCGCAGCCTGACAAATCGCGCCAAGCACGTCCTGAATCACGCGGTTGGCCCGAAAACATTTATTTGCAACGTTTGCGGTAATGGATTCGCCAATAAGGGCAGTCTGGATCGGCATGCACGGATCCACACAGGTGAAATTTACTCTTGTAAACACTGCTCTAGCACATTTTATAGTTCGCCTGGTCTTACAAGGCACATAAATAAATGCCACCCGCCCGAAAATCGTCAGGTCATCGTACTACAGGTTCCTGTGCGACAAGGGTGAACTCTCTCGTTTTTTCCATGATAAAATATAAACATTTGACTGTGTAGATTTCTTGTACAAAAATTGTAAAATAGTATTATATTTACAAAGAGGTTAGACAATGCCTCAGAACAGCATTATGAATTTTAGAACGCATTGTACAAATTTTTTAATGTATGAGAAGGTGTAGTCGGTCGAATTCTTATACACACTGTAAATTTGCGAAGATGTAGTTTTAACTTATAAGTAGTGCAAATCTGTATAAATTTTCCTGTCCAATTTGTTAGTTGTTTTTGTGCTCCTTGGTAGTAAGCGAGCGGTGTTTATTCTGAGAAACGCGCAGCTGTCATGAAGAAATTTTCCCACTTCGCTGATATTAATATTTTGTAGAATGTTAGCGGATTCTTTGAAGGAAAGTGTCTATTCAGTAAACGGAAGAAAATATTAAACTAGCCTTTGTTGCTCATTTTAAGTTTTCAAAGTGGATTTCCGCAGAGCTGCTCATTGAGAACTCCTCATAAAATTCGACGCGCGCGGTCTAATTTGCTAGATCAACTCATGACGTTTCAGTAATCATCCCCCTCAAGATTCTCATTGAGTCAAAAGATAAAATCAAAGAATGGAATCTAATAAAATTGCCGGCGACTTTCCTATCCTAGATGCCCTTATTAATCCTCTTTAGCGAAGTATTTTGCTGGTAAAAATCGCCGGAACGCTTATCACTTCGAAACTATTTGCGCGCTCGCAACAAAACATGCAGAATGATCCAAAGGCAGGTTTTCACAACCTGTTAGCCTTTGATCGACGGCGTTTATTTTGGTTCTTGTATTTTCTATGACAGTTCAGTGTAGCCTTGAGGGGTTTTATCTACGCTAAAGATTGAATATTGAATTACTCCTCTGGCGAGTTTGGGTAGTTTTAAAAACAGATGGCGCGTGGTCCTCATTGTATAAGAGCAATATTTGTCAAAAGCGAATTCTGCCGATCACGTCCCCTTAATTTACTGCATGGCAAAAATCGTAGCCAACTGATTGTTTGTTGAGCCGTTTCACGCTGTCGCTGTTAGGACAACCCTTCTGTTTCAGGGAGGAATTCCTTGTTAAAACCATCAGTGCTGTGTTTCCATGCGATTGTTAGCTACTACACAAGTATTCAACAATGCGCCTTCACTGAGAGACTGATCAATGAATAGGGAACACCCGAAGGATTCGAATTTGCTATTAGAAAAAAACTGGCTGTCGCGACAGAAAAAGTATCCTTAATATTTATTTTCCTTAAAACATAAATTTTTCGTATGCATGAGTAACGATATTTGACTCACGAGCAATAAGGATTACTTATGAAAGCTTTTCGCTGAATGCGAAAATGCATTGAAAAGAAATGTAAGGTTTGTTTTCGCGCCGTGTGTGCTAACATTTTTGTACGCACGTGTTCTTTGACTTAAGAGTTTTTTTGCTCCTTCTGAAACTGACGGTTTATTATTGTAAGATTATTTCGAATTGGGAAATATTTGATCCGTTAGCTTCAAACTTCCATTGCTTTTAACGCATTCGGGGAGATGTGTAAACGATTTCAACCATATTGGAATTTTGACCGATTACGAATATTCATTATGTCGCTCAATGTTTGTAATTAACGTTTGTCTAGTTTTTCCTCTTAATTCGACCAAGCTTTTGATCACCAGAGAAATTTCAATAAAAAGTCTGTCTTTAGGGTAGATCTGACTTTTTTCGAAAAAAATACAGGTTTTCGTGGGAAACCAAGAGGCAACGGATAAGTCTAGTTTATGATTCCGATAGTCGAATTTCCCTCCTTTGTCTTGAGTGTCAACAAAGAAAGCGTTGCAACTCTCTTTCTGTGTGTCCTTTTAAATTGCGATGTTTCTGTACATTGAAACAGCTTCTGAACTTACTGATGTGTCCCATGGGTTCGAGAAACGTTTTTCGTGCCTTTAAGCTCGCTTTTTTTAGCTAGATACTTAAGGATCGCAAAGTTTTTGGGGCGGAAGATGTATAATGCGATCGAGTTGTGATTCCTTGGCTTAATCACAGCAAGGTGCTTCATTAGTATTCGTAGCATTCGTTTATGCGTCAATTCATATCGTGTCTTTTTCCTGCGGCTGGTGAGAAATGGAAAAGCGGAAACGCAGCAAAGAAAAAAAAATCCCATCACATTTCTTGTTTTATCTTTATGTAGGAGAAGAAATGCTTTACTCAATCTGTCGCGGGAAGATGGGGATACTATTCGATATGTTAATTTGCTTTCAATAAGTTTCCCGCGAGGTTGAATGAAGTCAAACTTTCAACAATATGTTTTTCCCTTTTCTGAGGCAATTTCTCTTTGCGTAAAGTGAAAATTTAATAAGGGTTTTACACAAATTGCACAAAAATCGAATGGAAAGCGACGACGATATACGAAGGTCATCGTACATAACAGCAGGTGCGGACTTATTGACTTTTTTAGAGTCGTCGCTAAGTCTGTGCTTAAAAGACAAGTAGGGAGAGTTCGCCTCTATGGGAAGATATTTCACGTTTACCGTGGCAAATTGTTTATTTCTTTGGATTCTATTTATTAACCGTGTTCTGATGTCGCCCTGATGTATGTTCTTTTATATTGAGTCAGCTGGAATTCTTCCATAATAGAGCACTTAGCTGACAGCAATCTTCACCTATACAGTCCCGTGATGTGTAGAAATGAGTTAAGCGCGAGGCTTTTTACTCATCAAACCATCAATTACTTTACGCTCTCGTTCGCTTCAACTAATTACTGGAATTTGGGCTCAGAAGCCCATGCTGAAAATATCTCAGATAAGACTATCACGATATATCGAAGTTTCTCGCGTAGTTGCAAATTGAAAGGACGTGGTTTCCTTTGCAATCGCTATTCGCTAGTGACGCGCGTAAACACGTTCATGTTGGCACAGCTGAATTTTCATAGCAATGCGTTACCAGGCAGTGTGTTCTTTTCTAAGATTTCGAACACATGCCAATGAATATTTATTCGCAAGGAAAAGAAAGAAACAAAATGAGTTTTTCCGTCGATTTGCGCGCAAACAGCGGAACTATCCCCAAAATCATCGTTGCCGAATGGACACATATTACGCAATTCGAAAAATGATGTTTTTTGCATCGGAAATCTGGACTAAAAGATCATGTCTGTTTCTCAGTCACTCTGTCGCAAGAGACAAAAGACGCACTTTCTCTATCAGTCGGATTTAATTTAGTCCAGTAACAATTGGCAAGGCATGTTTCCAAGTTTTTTCGCTCTCTATCAAAAATTGCTTCGAGCTTACAGATCGGGCTTATAATTCATCACCTACGACGCTTTCATCAATTTTAAGTGCGATAAACAAATGAGCGCAATAATTTGTTTTTAACTCCTTCTCTTTTTTATTCCTTGATCGCCTCAAATACGCGCTCCTACGGGTCTTGCACAACCATTCACATTATCATAATCAATGTTACCACGGGAACGGCAGTTCATCTTTGTGTTCGCAGCTCCGCGCCATGCGGTGAAAAATTGTTATTAAACTTTCATTTAAAAAGCCTTCTGTTTGCTGCAGCGTTTAATCAGGCCTTTCAATCCAAATGACTCTTCCTTTCCGTATGTTTTACTTATCGGTAGTATTTCAAACGTCTTCAAAAAGACTTTACCGCTTACATGTCTCCGAAACGAGCGTTGTTTTGTTTTGTTTAATTTTTGGTCCGTCTGTTATCGCAGCCTGCTTCTCTAAATTAATTTTTCTCCAAGGCGGGGGAGAGATCTTTTCCACAATTCATTTCCTGGCTTCTTGAAAGCTTAGGATGTAAATATCTCTTACGCGATAACTGATAACGATCCATTTTCAAGATTTTACTGCGATGTCCTTGATACTGTCTATAAAGAATATTAACGAGGTTTCAAATTGATTTGGAAATTTGTTCATTTTTTTTCTAAAGCATGCATTCTTCGTCGAAATATTAGCGCACCCTAGTTGCATGTTTGGCCTAAAACTTTCCCAAGCACGAACTACAAACTTGTTTTTCTTTTAAGTGGCGATAGTCTTTGTTCGGTGTAAATTATTCAACATGCGTTTTCATATTGTCACTTGATCACCGAATCGAATTCTCTGCGGTAATCAGTGATTGCTCGGTTACAGTGACGCTATTTGCTCGGAAGCAAACAGAAAAGCCGACTTCAACTCATCACAATCACAAGACTTAGCGCTGTAATCTTTCAAAGACGTCTGTCGTGTTGAATTAGTCTTTTTATCTGAGGCGTAGAAATTGTTTTTATCCTACTTCGCCAGGGCGTCTTTGGGACCTTTATAATTTAGCACCATATTTCACGCTAGTAAATGTTTGCATGGCAACCCATCGTCTGTTTGCCTTAATGTCTATCGTTTGGACTAGTTTTTGCGGGATATTAATGCGCGCTTTACCAATGTAGAGTCATTTGCAACGACGAGCACGTTCTCCTTCTGCCTTTCGCGGTAATTAATCAAATTGCGCGAAATCGGTTTCCTGGCGATCTAACGCTTTTTCACCAAATAAACGCATTTCTTTGAAAGATATAGCGTCAATCGCCCCTAATTGCTGCTTTTTAATGGCCTCGTAAGATGTTCTGGTACAATTTAGCTCGAAACTACACACTTGCTCGTTTCCGAGGCATTGTTCTCTAAATGATATCCCGCGGAGGACGGCCTCCATATCTCTGCCCCTTTCAACAACGCAATCTCCTTAATGTACAAACATCACGATTTTTGGCATTGGCTTGCACGCATACTAGCTGGATCGTACGTTTTGGAACGGCTAGGAGGGGAAAATAATGAAATAGTCGTCAACGTACGATTTTTGGGGGTGCTTTGAAAGCATACCGCAAATACTTGTATTAGTAAATTGATGGCTGATAGTTTAAACTAAAACCAACAGGTGCAGCATTTAGCAACTTTCCCATGATAGTCTTCATGTCACTACAAGATCATTATGGGCGTAATTTCGCAGACGGTTACCGAATCCAAATTGTTAAAAGGAGACCATTTGCTTTGAGTAAAGTCGTTACTAATTGCATCACTGGAAAATTTCAAAGGAAAGCTCATTTAGCGTAAGATCTCGACATGGTTCCCGTGAGTTGAAGTAATCGAATTTTTGATAAATTTACATTGCGTGGTGTTTATTGCCCCTCATTGCGCGAAAATATTGTTGGTAGCTAACAATGGGACTCGTCTTTAATGGCATTCCGTTTCAAAGGAGATTTCCCATTAAACCGCTTCCTCCAAATTCAAATATCTTTTAATAGCGTAATTTGAAATTACCCGAGGAATATTTCTCTGTTTCGTTTGTCAGTACGTGGCGAAAATTCGACCAACCCTCCAAATATTTTCAGCGAATGAAAGATAAATTGCCTAACAAAGGGGTACCGTATGTACTCTTTGTTGCTACAAGATTTCGCCACCAATTAACATTTTCGTCTCAATGAAAGATTCA